TACTACTATACGATCTAAAGTAAGAAGAAAGAGTGACAGTCTTAAATTCCCTATAGCCTCCTACTTATAAGTGTGGTGCACAACACACTCATAAGCAAGACTCTACTAGGCACGGCTTGTAGATACCCCAGGATAGAACTGCTCTGATACTACTTTTGTCACGACCCAAACCGATGGGCCACAACGGTCACCCGGTACCTTACTCAACCGAGTACCAATGTAACGTATCATTCTTATTACATCATCATAGGTAAGTGGGCCAGAAGGGGCGTCATGAGATAACCAGGGTAAACATGAGGGAATACCCGACATAGAACGACCAAACCTGATATAGAAACTCATACATATGACATACGGGCCTATATGGCCAATGTGATCCATTATATACTTAACATATAGGCCAACAAGGCCATACAAGTATCCGTATATATGACATCTGTCTACAAGCCTCTAAGAGTACATACTTATCATAAAGGTCGGGAAAGGGCCCCACCATACCAAATAATACACGTCTAAATCATTTTGACCAAACAAGTAACTCCGGAGCAAATGGAGCGCACCAACATCTTTCGCTAAGTTGATAGCCTACTTGGAGGACTCTCGACCTGTCTATCGGGACCTGCGGGCATGAAACGCAACGTTACCAGGTAAAAGGGACGTCAGTACAAATAATATACCGAGTATGTAAGGAATGAAGGATCAATAAATAATAGACAATAGACATGAGAGACACATGGAGTAAAAGACTCAACATGTAAGTCTGGATAACTCTATAAATTATGTAATACTTTTAGTGTCATGAATATGCATATGCATATGAATGTCTTGTCATGCATAGATACATATGTTCATAACATCATCAAGCCTTTGAGGGCATCCCATCATATCATCTCGTCCACTATGGGCAAAATCATCAATGTATACCAGCTGATCAGGTAGTGGTGCGTATATAACGCCGTAACCTTTTCACATATCCCATATACATATATACGTGTATATAATACCGTCTGGTCATGGGTCAATGTACATGTATAAATGAATGCAATGCACGAGAAGCACGCCAAGAAAATCTCTCAGAATTTCATAAGACCATTATACCTCTGATCAATACCATGAAATAAACTTTATCAACTTACGTATTTTCTGAGACCCATAAAAAGACGATATAATAATAAGACATATGGGAATTCAAGAACATAGACACCTCTAATACTTCTATGAATAGAGTTATTTATGTAAGTTGTGCATTTGCTCGTTTCGTTTGTGTCGTATAGATCATGCCAAAAGGAAAGAAGGGATAGCCTTAACATACCTGAGTCGATTCTCTCGACAATCCCTTTAACACATGTCAATTGCGACAACACGTAACGACAAACCAAAGTAAGGAAAAATCCGTATGATATTCTTGAGAAAGATTGCACCGTACTCCTTTAAAATCGCAAAATCTCACGTTGCTTAAGATGATATGAACTCTTTGTTGAATTGCTGAAGATCCGTACCTTAGAGTCATTTGCTTAGAATTGTACCGTACTTTAGGGACTTTGCCATGAATTGTTTGAAAGATATGTCACTCCATTGAATTAGAAATTTTTTATATTTTAATGGGTGTGGCCCCACTCCATGTGGTGGCTTAACCACACATCCTTAAGTCGTGACTTTGCCACATAACCTATAATGACTTAAGAGTCATATATCTTGGATGGCTTGATTTAAGAGTCATATATCTTAGATGGCTTGCTGCAAGGCGGGGAGGTCTAATCTTATCTAATTCCTTTAATTAATCACCCAATAATTTATTAATTAACTAGGTAATTCCCCATTATTCAATAATTCGTCAATTATCCATATAATTAAGAATTATCTCAAGTTACTTAAAATACTACTCACTTTTAACATACTTTATACATCTTACTATCATGGTCATGTAGTACATTGTATGACACTAGTCCATAAATACCGGGTATTATGGCTCGGACCGTATTTTATCCCAAATCGACAATCTTCAACGAAACTCATTTTCTTTGATTTGTTTACCCTTTAACCTTCACGAATTTACTTATCACTTATTTAAAATAGCGTAATACTTATAATCTCAAATAATTTCATTCCCGAACTTTCATCAATTAGCTTACGACGAAACTTTAACGTACGAAAATGCGGGATGTAACATCTCATTTCCGAGCTTATATCAATTTACTTATAGCGTACTTCCTCTTAGGAATTTAAATCCAACTGAATGTACATGTTTACATTATGATCATGGAGATGCTTTCAGGTAAGTTAAGAGAACATGCATACCTAATGTGCTGTAAATATTTTTAAAATTATTAACTTCCAAATACTGTTTTAACAACTCAACTTCAAATATATTTTGTTTTCAAATCTCAAATAGATCATATCCAACAGCATAGAATTGCATCTCTCTAGGAGTTGTTGACACTAATTTTCTCTCTAGGAGTTATTGACACTAACTTTAAAGGGCATGACAAAACTTAAAAATACAAAATGCTACTACCACTTATTTTTACCAGATTTATTTCTTAACGTTTAGTCATTTACAATCATTTTCCTCTGATTCCTCAAAAAGAAATTTTACGGGAAAAAAAAAACAACTTGCACACGAAGCACGCAATTAAACGAAAATAGGCATATTCCCTTGCAAATTGTTGTTGTTCTCTTATTAATAATAACTAAGAAATTTGTCGCGCTTCGTGTGATTATGATAAAATATTATTAAATATAAAAAAATTATATATAAATATAGTCAGATAAAATAAAATTTTTAACTATATGAATAAGAAAATTAAGTGTACATATTGATAAAATCACTATTTGGATACTCTTAGTAGAATTATAAATTAAATGAACAATATATTTTCATACATTCTATGTGTGGGGAGAGATTTAACCCTAGTCTAATATAATTCAAATATATGTATCTAAGAACTTCTTTTATTTCCTTTTTTATATTATTTTTCTTTCATTATTCTTCTTCTTCTAACTTTTTCCATTCATTAATCTCACTCTATCATCTAAATGAACCCTATTACCAACTTCCTCTTTATCCTTTGTGACTATTTTTTGTATTTCTTTTATCCGTGTTTCCTATCCTACTTTGGTACTGCCTTTATTAACCTTTTCCTCTTCCTTTTTTCTTTCCTATCTCTATACGGTTACTCTAAAAGGTAATAAAGATAACGGAGTAAACTCAATAAAGAGACAACCAATTTATAGAAAGAAAGAATATATATAATTATTGATTTACTACAGTTATGTATTATCCTCATCTACCATGATTTTTGGATTGTGCAAACAATGGGATAAAAAGTATAAAAAATAAAATAATAATTACTTCATCTTAAAGAAGTATCAAACTTATGGGCTTCGCTCCCGTGGTAGCATAATGTTGAGGAATGTATTGATACAGGGCAAACACTTGGTGCTAGTTAGTTATTATTTATAAACCATAGTTAGCTAACTAGAGTATATACTAGTAATTGTAGTTGAGTTAGAGATTAGTTAGTATAAATATATGTTAGTTGGGCAGTTGTAGTAGTTGTACAGTATACTTTCTCAATGGAACAGTAATATTTCCATTTTCCCAGTTCTTCTTCTCTCGTCTTCATCTTTCTCTCTTAGATCTAAATTAGAAGTTAACTGAATTCATCAATTCGACATGGTATCAGAGCTGATAATCGATCAAATCTAGGGTTCTTCATTGTGAATTTGCTGAAGAATGAGAGATAATTCGATATTTTTTGTTTGTTCTCTGTTTTTGGATAAGAAACCCTAATTTTCTCCAATGGAGGTTGATGAAGTTGCCGATCAAAACTCGATTGTGATTTATCACAATCATCCTCTGTATTTGCATCCATCTGATACAGCTGGAGCGTTGTCATTAGGTTTTCAGTTGATCGGAATGGAGAATTACACTATGTGGAGCCAAGCTATGGAGGTTTCACTGTTGACTCGCAACAAACTGGGCTTTATTGATGGAACCATCACTTACGACACTTATGGAGATAAGTATGCTAACCTCTGGGATCGATGCAATGCTATAGTGAAATCATGGATTATGCATAATGTTAGTCATGATTTGTTGAGTGGTGTTCTGTTTCGTTCAAATGCATGCGCGATTTAGGCTGATCTGCGTGAACGCTTTGATAAAGTGAATGCTTCACGCATGTATTATATTCACGGAGAAATCTTCACATTGACTCAAGGAGTGACTAGTGTTTCTGTGTATTACTCTAAACTGAAGGATCTCTGGATGAATATGACTCAATAATGCCACCTCCTACCTGTTGTGATAAGTCTAAAAAGTTTGTAGATCACCAATAATATCAGCGACTATGGCAATTTCTGATGGGACTTAATGATGGTTATAGTCAAGCTCGTAGTCAAATTCTTATGAAGTCTAAAATCCCCACTGTTAATCAAGCGTATGCAATGATTTTACAAGATGAAAGTCAGAAAATTGTGGCTGGTAATAGTTCATATGTTCCTGATTCATCAGATCCCACAGCCTTGTACTCATCAAAATTGGGGCAAAAGATGAAGAAAACCTACAATTTGGAGTGTGACTATTGTAATATGAAAGGGGATACAAGAGACAACTGCTACAAGTTATTGAGGTGTGAATATTGCAACATGAAAGGGCATTTGAAGACAAACTGCTACAAGTTGAATGGGTACCCTGCAGATTTTAAGCCAAAGAGGAAGGTAAATATGACTAGCAGTGTTCCAAGTCAAGGTGCTTATGCTCCATCAGATGGAATGTCAACTAAATCACAGAGTTATGGTCAACAAGGACTTGGACAAGGACAGCAGCTAGGGCACCAGCACCAGCTTTTACACCTGAGCAATATTAACAAATCCTTACTATGCTGAATAAAACACATGTCTCAGAGACTCTTGCTTCTGCACATATGGCAGGTAATGTTTCCTATGTTCAACAGTCTGATGAAAAGTGAATTGTGAATACTGGAGTCACTAATCACATGGTTGGTAACCAAGACACTTTGCATGACAAAGTGATAACAGGAAATGCAGGTAGTGTCCAGCTTCCTATAGGTGATTCAGCCAAAGTGTCTCGTGTTGGAAGTTACCAACTGAATGGAGGATAAACTATTACAGGTGTCTTATGTGTTCCAGCATTCAAGTTTAACCTATTGTATGTGTCTCAATTGACAAAGGCCCTTAAGTGTTGTGCTGCTTTCTATCCTGATTTCTGTATTTTACAAGATCTCTTCACTGTGAAGGAGAAGGAGATTGGTAAGAAGGAAGGGGAGCTCTATGTGCTTCATACACAAAGAAGATTAAACAATCCAGCTAAGTCATTTGCAGTAGTAAGAGCTGATATTGAATTGTGGCATAAGAGGCTGGGACATGTTCCGTTTTCAGTCATTAAGAAGTTACCTAATCTCACTAGTAGTGATAGTACTAGAATAAGCCATTGTGAAGTTTGTCCATTGCCAAGACAAGCTAGGATTCTGTTTCCCATAAGTACTACTAGAGCAGTAGATTATTTTGATTTACTGCATATGGATGTATGTGGGCCTTACAAAGCCTTAACTCATAATGGAAAAAGGTTCTTTCTCATAATTATAGATGATTGCTCCAGATGGACCTGGATTTTTTTATTGCATCTTAAATCTGATGTAGTTGCAGTACTTAAGCACTTCATTATTATGGTCAGAACACAGTTTGGGAAGATGATAAAATGCTTTAGGTCTGATAATGGGATAGAGTTCTTTAATCAGAGTTGCAATAAGTTATTCTCAGTGCATGTCATTGTGCATCAAAGCTCTTGTCCATGCACTCCACAACAAAATGGAGTGGTGGAAATAAGACATAGACATATATTGGAGACAGCAAGAGCTATAAGGTTTCAAGGTTATTTGCCTATTCAATTCTAGGGGGAATGTGTGGAGGCAGCAGTGTACATCATCAATAGGATACCCTCCACTGTTTTGCACAACAAATCACCATTTGAAGTGTTGTTTGGCAGACAAGCTTCTATGTCTCATATGAGGGTTCTAGGATGTCTATGTTTTGCTACTAATTTAGTGAAAGAAGACAAGTTTGGTCCTCATGCAATAAGGTCTGTATTTCTGGGGTATGCTCCTACACAAAAGGGCTACAAGTTATACAACATTGAGCAGAGGTCTATATTTGTGAGCATGGATGTAGTCTTCCATGAAGATATGTATCCTTTCCAATATAATGCTGAAGAATTCAGAGTGTACCCTCAATCAACTTCCATAGTCAACAATGATTGTATATTGTCACCTATTGATAGTAGGGGTGTTGAAGAGCTTGGGAACACTCACACTGACACAATAGCTGATGTTCCTATATATGAAATGCATGCAACTTTATCCTCTATTCCCAACAATGCAGAAGAAAGTGCAACTGTTGTTCCAGAGATACAGGCACCAGTTGTTGAAAATGAGGCTTCTGTGCCATCTGATATTAGACAAAGTGGACCACCCATTGTTTGTTATCAGAGAAGGTCTGGCAGGACCACTAAACCCCCTATTTGGCTCAAAGACTACATTAGACCTCAAGGAAGGTCAAGTTCTGCAAGTCATTGTCTATATCCAATCAGTGATGTCATACACTATGATAGCCTTTCAGCCAAATACCAAGCCTATGTTGCTAAGGTTTCTTCAGAGACTGAACCTGCATCCTTTTATGGAGCAGCCAAAGATATGAGGTGGATTGAAGCTATGAAAGCAGATGTTCAAGCTCTAGAAGATAATCACACATGAGAAGTAGTAACACTACCTCATGGCAAGAAGGCAATTGGTTGTAAATGGGTCTATAAGATCAAATACACAGCTTCTGGAGATATAGAAAGATTCAAGGCTCGCTTGGTGGCAAAAGGGTATAGTCAGAAGGAAGGCTTGGATTATCAAGAGACATTCTCACCTGTAGTGAAAATGGTCACAGTTAGGTCTGCGATTGTTGTTGCAACTGCAAAAGTTTGGGTTCTGCATCAAATGGATGTATATAATGCTTCCTTACAAGGAGATTTGGAAGAGGAAGTCTATATGGATCTACCTCAGGGTTTCTCACATTCAGCAGGAAAGACACAAGTCTGTCGACTATACAAGTCTCTTTATGGTCTTAAGAAAGCTTCCCGTCAATGGAATATTAAGCTAACTACTGCTCTTCTTCAGTCAGGTTTCAAACAAAACCATCTTGACTATTCTTTATTTACTAAATATATCAATGGGAAAATAGTCATCATCCTAGTGTATGTGGATGACTTGCTCATCACTAGAGATGATGTTGTTCTTATATCAGACACCAAAGCTGCACTTCATCAAAACTTCAAAATCAAAGACTTGGGGGAGCTCAAGTATTTTTTAGGCATTGAATTTGCGAGGAGTAAGGAAGGGATTTTGTTACATCAGAGGAAATATTCTCTCGAACTTATCTCTAATGCTGGCTTGGCAAGGGTAAAACCTGTAGGGGCACCTGTTGAGGTGAATCAGAAGTTAACTACAACTGAATTTGATCATCAATTTGGACTTACCAATGATACTTTACTTGCTGATCCTGGAGCCTATCAGAGGTTGATTGGTAGGTTACTCTATCTAACTATTACTAGGCCGGATATTTCATTTGATGTGCAATGTTTGAGCCAATTCTTGCATGCTCCAAAGACATCACACCTTGAGGCTGCTTTAGAGTAATCAGATATTTGAAGAAGGATCCTAGTCTGGGGATCCTTATATCATCTCATGGTTCTATCAAGTTGCAAGCTTATTGTGATGTTGATTGGGCTTCCTGCCCAAACACAAGGAAGCCAGTGACTGGCTATATGGTCACACTTGATGATTCTCTCATATCTTGGAAATCCAAGAAGCAAAATACTATCTCTCGTAGTTCAGCTGAAGCAGAGTATAAAAGTCTAGCATCGACTGTGGCAGAGATAGTGTGGTTGGTTGGTCTGTTCAATGAATTGGGAGTCTCTCTCACTTTGTCTATTCCACTCTATTGTGACAGTAAATCTGCAATGCAAATTGCTGCGAATCCAGTCTTCCACGAACGCATCAAGCACATTGACTTTGATTGTCATTTTATTCGTGAGAAGGTACAACAGGGGTTGGTTGAGGCTGTGTATCTGCCTTCTGCTGAGCAACTAGCTGATCTATTGACGAAGGGGCTAAGTTGTATTCAGCATGACCATTTGTTATCCAAGCTAGGCCTAAAGAACATTTTCCTTAGACCTAGCTTGAGGGGGGGTGTTGAGGAATGTATTGATACAGGGCAAGCACTTGGTGCTAGTTAGTTGTTATTTATAAACCATAATTAGCTAACTAGAGTATATAGTAGTAATTGTAGTTGAGTTAGAGATTAGTTAGTATAAATATATGTTAGTTGGGCAGTTGTAGTAGTTGTACAATATACTTTCTCAATGGAACAGTGATATTTCCATTTTCTCAGTTCTTCTTCTCTCGTCTTCATCTTTCTCTCTTAGATCTGAATTAGAAGTTAACTGAATTCATCAATCGACACATAGTATCAACTCTGAGAACTTGTACAAATCTTTCATAATTTGACTCTTTTAAAGAGAGATAGGCTAAGAATATATCGCCACTCTTACTTTAATTGACATATAATAAGTAACTAATTATTTGTAGTATTTTTTTTCACCATCTTCCTAGAGGAGCCAATAAATGAATCAAAGTTTGACCCCAAATCGATGATATCAAATTCTATGAATCTACATGCACTCGTTATTTTTTTATCTTTTTTCCTTTCACTGCTTCCGTATCCATTCACTCAACAGAAAGAACGTATATTTTACTTCTCTTTCTTCTTCTCTAAAATATTCATATCACCTTCCATAACCAGCCAGGCCTTCACTCTAAAATCAGTCCTATCTTCAAAATTATCAAAAGTATACTAAGATTTCCCAAATCAGTTTTGCTAAGTGTCTCCTATAAGTTCAATACACACATCATACTATATTATAAGTGTGAAACTTTTAAGTCAAGATTGAATTACGAAAATACCCACTAAAAGTTGAAAGACTATTTTACCCTTTAATAACTTAATTATTGTTTCAACGTTGATGAGTGTAAATCTATATCTATATTATTATAAAAGCACGAATACAATGTTGATAGACCAAAATAATCTTAAAATAATTTTCACTAAAAGTCATAAGAAGAGGACACAACTGAAAGTAATATACGTTAAAATAAAGAGTTATAATTGTAATAGAAATTGTACTTAGTATTTAAGATTTTGCCTGGAATATGCCTAATTTGTAATGGGTTCTAACAAAATTTTTTTACAAGAACGCGTATTAACTATTCCAATAGTTTTTGTTTGATTAGGATTAAAAGGGTTGTTCTTCGTCAGATTTTGTTATTCTCTTACTTCAATTTTAAGGCAAGATTCATTGCCTAAATAATGGATAAAATATTCTTTTTTTACATTATTCTTCACATAAGTTTGTAGGTTATTTTGGTCATAACAATATGAATAAAATTCTATTAAAATACTACTTCCGGATGAAATAGACTTTCTATATTGGAAATTGATGTTGGGCGTGAGTTGGGTCTTCTGGGGTGCTTTTTCTTTAGTTATTTAAGCTTCTTTTTTAAAAATAAAAATAAAAAATTGACAAGGCAAGGAATAATAAGTTAATCAAAGAAAATATAGAGTAAAATAACTTATTATTTTTATCATGTCAAATTGTAACGAATTGATTTTATATTCTTCAAAAGCTGATTATTCTTTTTATAAATTATTTTGTGTCGGATAAAATTATAATATATAAAGTTTTAAAGTTAAGTAATGATAGATTTCATAAAATTATAACAAAGATTTATTTCATTAAAGATTCAATTCCATGTAGAATAATATTTCAGAACTCATAATAACTTTTGACAAAAAAATACCAACTAAAAATTGTTATTTTCCTACAATTGTAACATTCAGAACAAAAATACTTACTTTCCCCAGATCAACATGACAATAACAATAACATGGCAACTCCAAAACGTTCACATTGTTGTGTTAGATTTAAAATGCTAATTTTCTTTTTTTACTTTTTTCTTTCAATATATAATTGGGGGAAAAATTAAAGGTAAACTTTCCTCTAAATATATTTTGTTTTTTTTTGAATGTTGTATTGTCCGGAGATGTTTAGATAACGATCGATAGATTTATTAAGAGATATGAGATTGTTATTACGCATGTCACAGAGAAAAAGAGGAAAAAAAAGAAAAACATGTACCAACTACTTAGAACTTTCCTTAGTTGTTTAAAACCACCAAAAGTTAATTAATTTTAAGGAAAGAAAAGGAAAAGATTAAAATTACAAAATGATGTATCCTTTTTTTGGATTAATCAAGACCGTTCAAAAAGATTGAAATATCTAATATTAGTTTTTCATTATAAAATCTTGAAAGATTATTTTAATGTAGTCACAAAATCTTAAAAAGTTGAATTAAATCAACAATCAGGTAAAGCATTTAAATTCAACAATCAACTTTATTATATTGCTTATTAAATAAAAAATATATAATTCTGACGTAATATTTGTATTTACTGTACTACTGAAAAAGGAAAGATTAACCAACTATTGTGACATCAGACAATATAAACCAAATCATGCTCCATCAATTTATCCAATGTGCTATGAGCCGAAGACATGAACAAAACAGAAAAAATATCTCGATTTGGTTGAACTACCAGCGATATGGCATACTAAATATTTATACTCCAACAAAATTATTTATTTTTTAATTTAGCTTATTATTGATGAACCATAGGCCCCTCTTCATTAGAGACCTACTTACTAACTTACTATTAGTAGAAGAAAGTTTCAAAACATTCAAAAGAAGTTGCGAAATAAATATTAGTAAACTTATATAACAACATTTTAGAATATTTTGGTGAAGCAATCTTCGAACTTCTAAGTACTATAAGCTATCCGAAATTTATTAGCAACTATATTAGTGCATTATAATCCAACCGATGTTAGAAGGTTGTAGGAACATAGTATGAAGACATGTTAGATGACTTTAGAAGGATACATAACATCATCTAATAATCAATATTTGTGTGCATTAAAAATTATTAGTTATTTATTAGAGAGCACGAGCAATAATGTAGAAAATATGATATACCAAAACTTGATTAGGGGCTAGATGATTGTGTTTCATCGGACAGAGAGATAATAGGAAACTTCATAAAAGTACATATGAAAAATAATTCAATGCACAATCAAAACTAAACCTTGATCAGGAGCACGTTTCAAGACTATATTGCAAAAAGATGATTCTGACAACATAAAATTATTTTTTGTGGATAGACTTAAAGGAACTGAAAAATATTCCTATATCATGATTTACTAGCAAAATTATGAGGTGCAGTAGCCTTAGCAATATAAATAAATGGTGTAGCAATATGATTTAACCTAGGGTCGCACGACTCGCTCAAAATTTGACATTCCTATTTAAATAAATGAGACAACCATCATAAATATGTAAAAGCAAAGTGATGATATTGAATCGACAAGAAAAGCACAAATAATAATTTGGGATGAAGCACCTATGGTGAAGCGTCAGACAATTGAAACACTTGTCATGAGCTTTAGAGATCTAATGGATGTTGATAAACCGTTTGGCCAAGAAACCTGATTCTTGAAAGTGATCTCTGTCAAGTGCTTCTAAAATTGATGAGAATATAAACGGTCAATGCTAGCTTGGTATATTCATACATATAATATCACATGAAAGACTAACAAAAAAATATGCAAGGAAGAAAATATTCAACATCGAGCGAGTTCAATTTGCTTCAAGTGAAGATAAGTATACAATTAGCGTGACTTGGTCATTCTTCAATCTATTTGAATTACAAGCGCAATTGTAATGGTAGTAGTGAACATTGCTTAATAAGTGATATATTTCTTATTAAATTAAAATACAAGTTGTGCAAAATATATGAATAATTTTTTTTTTATCTTAACTTGAAGAAATGAATATGTCGATCAACTAAATAAAATGTTGATTATCAATATATAATTTATCAAAATATTTAAATTGATCTACTTTCTTATAAATAATTGACTAAAAATATACGTGCAACGCATGTAAATAGAAACTAGTAAACTATATAGTTTGTCTTGAGATCTAGAGTATGTATAATATATAAGAATTTTCAATTAATTTACTTACGTACATGCATTTAATTGAACGCTTTACGTTTTCCAAAGCTAACCTCATTCGATTTTTATACACGTACCACACTTTAAAAGCTAATTAAGTTTTACGATTATTATAAAAGAATGGGGTCCATCATAAATTTGATGAATATCAAAGGTTGCGCAGTACGTTATGCTTGAGGTTAGTTAATTTATTTGTGTCTCTTTCATTCATTCCTCAATTTATCTTTTAGCAATAACAATTGCAAAATACATATGCAGCTTATCAAAACCTATTTTAACCTGCAAATTTAGCAAGAACATTTAAGCTAAAACACTGACGACTAAATTTCTTTAACAACAGTTGTATGAAATCTTGATGCCGAATTAGTATGCCCGAACATGCCAAGGAAAATCTTGATAGAAGATATAAGGTTTGGCCTCTCAGTTATTTTCATAATTCTTTCTTTGATAACAAAGTTCCTATATTATAAAGTAGATTTATATCATATAGTGTTCCTTTTTTTTTTCCCTTCCTTTTTTTTGTGTGTGTTAGCAAATCCAGGAATATCGAGGTAATGAAGAAGCTGGACATGAATTCAAAATTCATGTAGACATTGGGGATCTTCCTAACAGTGGAAGATGATGTGGAGCATTCAACTAATTCATACTATGATTTAATCTTGTACAGCAATCAACACTTCTCTTATGAAGCATTCTTCCAAACCATATGTATTGCCACATTCTTATTGATCCTTTTCTCAATTTCAATAGTCGTGGTTCCCCTTTAAGGTGTCACCAAGGTGATCATTCTGTATATCATGTCCCTTCATATAATTATATCCATCGACCATGGTTTATTAAAGTTGTTTTGTAGCTGCTTTAGTACAGTTTTTAGTTTAGTGATGTTTGAAAGTTGGATTCATTTGTTGTTTTGTACTTTGTAAAAAATCCACTGCCTCTTAAACGAGTGAGATTTTTTGGAATTCCCTTTATTTTATTTTATATTGACACAGTATTTTAAAAAGACATCATATACATACAAATACAATCCTTACTAGGTTTTAGTGAGAAACATTGCTATCTTTGGTATTTCCCTTTGGCAGTAACCAGATATTTTAATTCCAGTATTAGGTTACCATTATTCTTCCACATGGATTCGTGCTGCACCTACGCTACTTTTTTATTTTTAAAGTTGTCACTTATCAATTATTCAACGTGTTCATTTTTTATTTAACATGTAAATTAGTTGAATAGGCTCTTCATTCATTAATTTCGATTTGTAGTTTGTTAATTCTCCTTCAAATTTCAGGAAATTATCACGTACACAAGTTTTTTACTATTATTTAGATAATTTCAAAATTTTGTATAAATTGGTATGGGCACACGTGCAAAGCACGTGTCCAAAAAAGTAGAGAGAATCCATAATATCTTTAACGTAAAGTTCATGTATCGACCTCATTGAAAATTCTTTGAACAGTTGTGAAATTTATCATTTAATTCATTTTTACTTAAAAATATGTAAATTATCTGATAAAGCTTATCTTAAAATAAATCTAGACTTTCTATTATTGATATAGTCCTTAACATTACCAATTAATGAACAAATATGCTTACACAACAATTGACAGAGAAATTATAATACCTTGACTAACCTGCTTTCACTTCAAGAAAACCCATACTATTTGAGATCAAAAATAAGAAGTTACAAAAAAGAAGAGACCAATATCAGTTGAAAACCATAATAATCATCCAAAAACAATATACATCAAATGAATCACCGACAATTAAAATTGGGTAAATAATTAAAATTCCATCCTTTAAATCAGCGAAATATATAGAAGAGAACAAACAAAATTTAGAAACAATTATTACCAAGCAAAGAGAACAAATCAATGAATTATGCAAAAAAGAACTTATGGTAAAGTTATACAAAGAGACAGAACAGAGAAAAAGTTACAAAGGGACTGACATTAAAAAAATATTGAATTTGTCTCTCTCAAAAACTTGTCACCTACCTATCATATTATGAATAAATAAAGAGAAAGCAGCAACAGGAAAATTTCTACCGATTTAAAAGAAAAAAAGCAATAAGGAGATTGGATGGTAACTGTTGTGTCTCTCTATATCTCTTGAGAAATTATAGTTGGAGAAACGGAAAATAAGACATCTTTGCTCTTCACTCAATAACTTGCTTCAATCTTCTTCCATTTACTTGATTGCCAAAGCCCATGGAATACAAAATGTTTAGGTAAAATATAAAGGGTACTAACATTCATGAATCATAATAATGCACATTAAATACTTCTAGATAACGGAACGAATGGAAATATTAACGAAAAATCACATTTATAGATCATAATGATGTATTATTAAGCAAAACGGAAATAACGAATAAACTTTAAGGTAAGAAAGAGAGGAAACAGGATCAAAACATGCAAATGGAGGAGGTAAACTTAACCACTTTTCCATTATTAAAATGGAATTAAGAAGAAACTGATAGGCTTCTTTTATTAAAAAAAAAAGAAAAAAAGATAGGCTTCTTTTATAAGTGAGATGGTGCCTTTTCAATGAAAACTTTTCGTTATTCTTAGTTAATTATTGAAAATCGTTTCGTTATTCTTAGTTAATTGTTGAGGTAAAGGTTAAAATAGGAAATCTCAAAAAATTGCGGAAAAAAAGAGATGTGTCACGTCAATTTTTTGTTCCCTACTTTATATATATATATATATATATATATATATATTACGACTTGTTCTACAGTTAAATTTATAACAACCATCCCCTCCCTCGTTCAATTCGGCGAAGCAAATCACGCCTATCCAATTTCGTTGGTTTTTGCTTTCTAATTGCTGTTAAGGACCAAAAAAGAAAACCTAGAAATCATGGTGGCTGTGATGATTTGAATAAAGATCTAAGATGTCTGAGAAGAAGAAGATGAGAAGTGAAGCGAGCAGCAGCAACAGTAATAGGAATAACAATAGCAATAGCAGCGGTGGTGGAAACAGCAGGGGCGAAACTGTGGTTGCTGATGTTGGTCGCCGTAGGAACTCATGTGGCTACTGTAAATCTGTTGGCCCTACTAGTATCTCTCACGGTAAGCATGGCTATTTAGAGTACTAATAGTTGATGCGATTCTGTTGAATTATCATTAAACACTTGATCGGAGGATCGGATTTGAAGACCATTTGAGCTAGGTGCCAGGATTGTTAGTTGTGCAAGTTATATTGTTCTGGACATATTTAGACACGCAAGTTTAGTGTGCTGGCTAATTTTGTACATTTTTCGTTTACATGGTGCAATCTTATGGTAAGATTTACAATCTCTCCGAATTCACGAGGACTTGAATAAGAGCAAAGCACTATAATACCAAAGGTTCTATATTGGGGGATACTCGTTACTTGGAGGAATTAGTTTGTTACTCTAGATTAGGTGTTTGCCAGGAGTTTCTCTAGTTGTTTCAGAAAATGTATGTCATTGGTAGGATTAGTGTGAAATTTAGAGAATCTCTAGTTTTAAAGAAACCTTAGTTTGTCTCTTAAGCAATTTAGGGGTTTGAAATATTGAATGGAGCAGAATGGATATAGAGGATTCTTATAGCCAACATCAACTAGATCGGGATTGAGGCGTAGTTAATTGATTGATATTTCGCTTTCACTGTCCAAGCAGAGATACCTGCATCAATACTTCACTTAGACCCTTTTTCTAAACTTATTTGCTTTCTTTGCAGGTGTATGGGCACGCAGTCTGACAGTTGATGACTATCAAGGTTAGTAAATTGACAGACATTCAAACAGTAGCGCCCAGATTTTTGTTGACCATTTAAAATCATTGTGTCTGATTGCCTGAAGCATGGTAGTAATAGTATGCGATATTATTACTTACCTTGGAGTTCCCCTGAATGATAAATTGATAACTAAGGCATTGACATTAGACTCTATATGGAACATATAGTTTTCGTAACTTTCTCTCTTTCTGAAAGAATAGAATGGGCCCACACTTTTTTTTGATGACGGTGATGTCTGCGCCAGCTTGCGCTCCTCAACTATTTCATCAGATACCTGCCAGGCTGCCACCTCTCACCAGCACAGATACCATGGAACTCTGCCTAACAAGACCTATGCGGAATGAACACATATGTTGCTTTACCTTATGTTGTTGCCTACTTTATATGCACATAGACTACTACCTAATTAAGCTACCCTTACTACGTATGCTGTATTTTAAGTTTCATAATCTGTTTAAAAGATTTGCAGCACATGCAGATGCAGCATCTCTTCTCGTTGAGCATGAACACCTCTCCCATGTATTCATAATCTGTTTAAGAGATTTGTAGCACATGCAGATGCAGCATCTCTTCTCGTTGAGAATGAACACCTCTCCGTTGTACATATCCATAGAAGCAACAGCCTGTCTTTGTCATGTGATTCTGAATTCTGATTGCAGAGGCACTGTAGATTATATGAGTTTCCTAATCAAATTTTGTTACATGGTTGTATATTGGTTTTCTATTTTGTAGCTCTTCTAGACAGAGGATGGAGAAGATCTGGCTGTTTCTTATACAAGCCTGAGATGGAGAAGACATGCTGTCCATCTTACACTATCCGTCTCAGAGCAGGTGAATTTGTTCCTTCCAAAGAACAACGTCGAGTACTGAAAAGCATGCAGAGGTATCTTATTGTTTCCCCTTTTCTTTATGATTAGTAAGTTAATTCTAGCTAAATTAATGCTTGTAGACAAAACATCATAGTTAAATCAATAGCCTCTAAGTGACTGTCAGAAATGTCTATTACTCTGCCATTTCAAATCATTATAGCTTGGGTACTACAAATGATGATTATGCATGGAAGGCAGTGTCACGAAATTGTATTCACCTATTGCTGGGTCTGACATGGAACATCAGCTCCATAGACACTCTTTATTCCACAGATTCATATGGGTTACACATAAATATTACCAGGAGTGTTTGGAGCTTACACTTACAGTCCTCCTTATTCATCTGGGATCTGTCTTTACTCAGGTGCTTTTGCAGAATGCCTCTGTCTGCTACCTCGAAGCCATTGAGTGGTCATTGAGATAACAACTGTAGTTGATTTGATGATTTATGTGAAAGCAGGTGTTCAGTACTCCCTTGCTTCTAAAGTCTACAGTCTCCAGTCTCCATTATTATCCTGATATCTTTGGCCAAGTTCCTTTCTTTCGTTAGATTTGTGTTCCTAGGTCTATTTCTTCCTTCTGAGATTACTCCATCATGGTGCCATATTCATGTGGACGGACTATAAAATCCTAATGGTGTTCTATACTTGAAAACTCTTACGTTTAGTGATTGTGACACTTTGGCAGCAATGCTTGGCAGTTGGTTTAATGACTGAATTATAGGATTTGTTGGATGCTCTTGGGTTATGTGTGTGTGCATGTGTGTGTATGTGGAGAGAGAGAGAACTCTTACGTTTAGTGATTGTGACACTTTGGCAGCAAAGCTTGGCAGTTGGTTTAATGACTGAATTATAGGATTTGTTGGATGCTCTTGGGTTATGTGTGTGTGCATGTGTGTGTGTGTGTGTATGTGGAGAAGGGGGGAGGGATAAGATTTGGGTGCAGTTCGACAAACGGTTCATCATAAATTGGGGATAACATTTATCAANAAATTGAGGATAACATTTATCAAGAAGAATTGGAAGATTTACTTTATTTAGAGTTTGGTTGTTGCTAATATCAAGCTCATTAAATCTAGTGGATGATTTGTGATTGCGCAAACTTCAAAATTTGCACATGGTGTTTGGCGTATTGGATATTGAAATTTTCTATATTTGGTTAAGCTTGAAAAAAATTGAATGCCTAGGTTTCTGGATGGCACATTGGATCGAAGATCAGATGACTTGATGGATACTACAGATACTTCAGGCATTTCACAAACCACTACCTTCAGTCAAAGTCGGAGCCCTGCAACAATGAAGTCCTTGAGAGATAACCCTGAAGAAAAGAACAAAACTGAACCGTTGATCCCCTATATGGAAAGTCAGATAGATAAAGCAGTACAAACATGCATTGAAAGTGGGGATCTCTGCTCTGACATTCAGTTTCCAAAAGCCTCTGTCAAAAAGGTTGCACCTGTGAAAAGAAAGTTATCCACTGAAGGGGCTGAGGATATGTTATTTACCAGCAGCATCTCGTTCCAAATTGCAGCTGCTTTAAGGCGAGGCAGAAAAGATGTTGAGCATGGAAAATCATCAAAATTGGGGGCTTGGGAGAGCGAAATGGCTGCTGATTCCCCAAAATTGATTGCTGAAAAACTAGCTAGCTGTCTAAACAATCTAGCAGAATCATCGGGCTTTTTAGTTAGAGCTTGCAACGGACATATAAACTTCTATTCTTCGGAAAGACGAGTTGATGAAGACAGTGTAGTGAGCAGCCAGAATGAGTCAAAGCAATCCACATCAGGAAGCTGCAGTAAAGAGAGCTGCTCATCAACAGCACAAGGAAGCCCTGAGCTCAAAAGGAGGAGGTTTGAGGTTCGTCTTAAAAGGTCCAGTTTTGATCCGGAAGAATATTCCTTGTATAGA